ATATATAATTATTTTAAATTATTTTATATTTCGAACAATAATGGTCCAAACACACGAAAAAAAAAATGTTTGGGAAGGTTTGACGGCCCTAAGCATCAAACGGCAAAATATAAAAAAATTCCCCGCAATCAAAACGAAGTCATTTTCCCGGCTGATCTTCTGCTCTCTTCCGCCCAAACCCTCACACAATCACCCCACTTTTGCTGCCGCCAGATGTTGCTCCGCCGCTCGTCGCCGGCGATTGTCAGTTCTTTCTTACGCTACGCACGCCCCTGCTCCTCCGCGGTCGCTGCCGTTCACCCCTCGGAGGACTACTCCATCGGCGATCCATCGGGCCCACTAAAGTACCTGGAGGGGTTTCCTAGGCCTGATCCCAAGTACGCCGAGACAATCCTTGCGATCCCTCGACTAAAGTCGGGGAAGAACATATCTGCTAAGGAGAGGAAGGTGGGGAGAGTACCGAGCATTATTTTCGAGCAAGAGAACGGGCAAGAGGGTGGGAACAAGAGGCTCATCTCCGTCAAGACTAAGCAGATCCGGAAGCTCGTGGAACATCTTGGACAGTCCTTCTTTCTGTCAAGGCTATTTGAGCTTGAGGTCCGCCAGACATTCGAGGTCGAAAGTGAAATTATAGAGAAGGTCCGAGTCTTACCTCGCAAGGTATGTAGATTCGACGATCTCCAAGTTTGGTTTCTGTTTCAAACATCTTTGTTGTAAATGCTCTAGTTTGCAAGAAGCTACCCTGTAAAACTGATATTATTAGGGAAAAACTATGGAATGCTAAGTGCCAGTGTCGAACATGGAATATACTATGCTTGTTAGAAGAGAAGGTTGAGCTCAAGGATTTAGGATGCAACAAAAAAGTTTCATTTTGGACAAATGGTTTGTTAAAATCTATTGTGAACCCATAAAAACTTGGGAGATTGAGATGATGCAGTCCGACGAGATAAACTCATTGATATGAAGAATGCTCGAATTCAATCCCAAATGAGCTTAAATGAAGCACATAGAAGCATAATTATAAATAGATCTTTTAAGAGACCAAACTTCTCCACAATTTATGTAGTTATAATTAAAATGAACTTCTCATCAATAGAAATTTATAAAGCTGAGGATCATTCGTTTTTAAGAAAATTAAAGTACTAATATGTTTAAAAAAATATAAAATGATAAAGGGGATCTTATAAGTTCATAAACTTCATGAATTGTTTCTAGCATCATTTGATTTCTATTTAAACAATCTTCAAGCATTATTTCCAATACTATTTGTAATTCCATTTAATTAAATTTATAAGCAATTGAGGTATTGCAGTTTGATAAGATGAACCTAAAGATATTAAGAATAGCTGTATACAAAACCAAGTAGGAATTAATATGTTCTTCAAAAGCATACTGAAAAATTCTTATGATCATTTGAGATATCCAAACAAGTTTTTAAGCGAGAAAATTTTGACAAGCCCAAGGCTGCTCAATTTGAAGCTGAAAAAGATACATTGCCCAAAAAATCAGCAATTCTCATTTAATTCTCATTAAGTCTTGGAATTTTCTTATTGTTTGTCTAGTTTCCCATTTTATCAATATAATGAACTTGCTAACCATTAATCATCTCTAAACTCTAAAGTTCTCCATTGAATGATGCTCATCAATTACGGATCAATGCTTGATTCTGAGTGATCAACCCGACCATCAACCTTTGCCAAACATAACATTTATTGTTGCTCATTGTCCGACTTCCAACATTCCATGTCACCTGTTGCCTGAAACCCACTATCACATTCGATATAAATATGAAATCTTTAACATTTGTTGTCATTTTATTGTCTGCTCATTCTCCTCTGTTATCAAGAAAATAACCAAGCTAACCACTCATTGTTTCCTATGACAAATCAAACACCTCAACACTTCTTTTACTACAATTATAATATATCTTTTTAACAAATCATATCTACTATACTGTATTATGTCCTTTAGTCATGACGAATGGTGTCATTTATAAACATTGATTTATATTGGTGGAATTCTTTTCAGTAGATAATGTTTTATAATTTTTTACTTTTATGAGTATTCTTTGGAGATCTCATGTTACTTTTGTGTTGTTCTCAATTTATCTGTATATTTGTGCATAATTTTTGTATAAAGCTAATTTAGTAAACTCCGCTTCTACCGTCATGATAATTCTAACATATTATAGTTTTTTGTTATATATGAGAAACAATTTATGGCTAGGAAAAACATTCTAGGTTGCTTTAAAAGGACATGCTAATACCATGAATACATTTGAAGTTAGACAACACCTTCCCAATACTATCTACTGATGTATAAAGGCAAGCCCACTTCACCCAAATTGTCTTAAGAAAGATAAAGTGGTTTTTCTATTTGTTGCTTAAATTGCATTGAGATTTGATCTAAATTGTCCCTAGGGGATATTCACATTGAGATCTGGTGATTTATTGAAGTTAAAGTAGGTCTTAACCAAACTATATTTTTAAGGCTTCTTATATATATGTGAGGTATTTTATTAAACGTTCCAGAAGAATCTCATTGTCGCATTTTATCTCCAAGAGGGTTCCATAATCTAAACAATTTTGATGGCTTATCAGTTTAGAAGCCACAAATATTGTTCATTGTTTGACAAGATTCTCACTCAATAGTTTATGGATTTCAATAGAATAAGTGGTAGATAGGGCTCTTCTAAAAAAAAAAAATTCTTGGAATGCTTGACATCAAACGATATTCAATTTTGGATAAGGTGCTCACTAAATTCCTCATGTAAGCTTCATGATTCATGGATCCTAAGCGGGCAAGTGTTAGGTGGAGTCTTCACTTAAAAAATTCAAGGAAACATCTAGTGTTTTTTGCTATAGAGAATTTTTAAACATAAATAATTTTACAAACTTTTCTAATCACTGCCTGTCCATTCATACCTGTTATTGCAATCACAAGATTTTTTCTGTTGAAAAACGTCGCTACCTGCTTTCGCCATCGCTTGATGCCATTTATTGACAAATTTTGTTGTCCAACCTTTGACATTTTTTGTTGACCTGCACCCTACTCATATCAATGTCTAATGTTTTTGACTTATCAGCCACAATCATCTCATTCATATTTTACTGGTTTCTTAGTCTTCTCTTATTAAGAAAATTGTTGAGTTGACTATCAATCATCGCTAGACCTCTGACATTTTTGGCCAATTATTTTCTAATATCAATCAATGATCAATATTTGAAGCCTATATTTTTAGTCACTTAAACTCCCTACATATTAGGAGAGCAATCAACTTGAATACTAATGTTTGACATCTGCAACCCATCTACATCTGACACATGTCTTACCATTTGCTTTGTCTCCTCTACTATCACCCAAACGCCTCATGATAGTTAAGCATTTGAAGACTTCTACTACCAACATAGGAGGTATCTTCCATTATTCACTTATCATATGTAATATTAATGCTATCCCTAGTTATAGTTTAGGGCATCCTTTTTAATCACCGGCTTGTACTACTGTAGTTATTTCAATTTTGTTTGTTCTTCCAGTTTCTTACCGTCTCCTTTGAGATTAATAAAAAATTTTTGAGGTGGATTTTTCTTTCCATGAATTTGGCTCTTCCTAATGGCTCGAGTAAAAGTATGATTGATTCTCTTTGTTGATTATGTTCTTGATATTTGAAAAGTTTGCTAAATTCAAGCAAAGTGATTTGGACAAACTGTTCATTGGTTTTGGAACTATTAGAGGGTATGCTGTTGTTTGATTTCCTATTGCTCATAGTTTGCAGGGTTTAACATTTCTTAATATGAATTCAGTGACTGTTGGACTTTTAGATGATCTTCATCATCTATTATATAGTTTACAATCTATAACTTTACGACGAACATAGAACAACTCCTCTTCTTCATGTTTTGTGCATTATTATTCTAGTTAGATGCGTTTATTAGGAATATGACTGTCATTATTTCTTTTATAGCCGAGTTAGCATTTGCGCTTCATCAATTTATTTGGATTACTTTTCTTTATAGTATGCCAATTTTAGTTAACATTATCCTATGGTATAAAGTATTTGCTTGGTATGCCACTTTTGCTTAAACCTAAAAATGGAGAATTTTTTTTCTACTTTTTCTATGTTTTATTCAATCTAATTTTTTTTTGTTTTTTTTTTGTTTGAATGAAGTAGAATTAACTTATTTTGACAAATATAGCTAACTGCTGTTACATTTTATCCATTTTCTTCATATTGAGAAATGTTGATCGGGATTCGATTCACATTTTTTCATGCATATTAATTTGTTTTGTGTTTTTTTTGGGTGCCAAATATACGACTTTTATATGTTGATATAGAATTAGTAAATTTGAACAACCTCTCAACGTTTGACTAACATAATGTTGGTTCTCAATTGTTTTATTAGTACCTACAAATTGGGCAACCTTTTCAATTTTAATGATAGTATCCAAATTACTATTTTTTATTTGCCAAAAATCTGATTTCCGGTCTTAACCGTTAATATTAAGTATGGAAAGGGTGGAAATGAAATGATATCAATTCTAAATGCCGAGTTTATTATTAAATTGAAAGTTACTATAACTTGAAGAGCTGTGAAAATTGTTATTTTGCGTTGTGACCATTGAACTTCCTTAATTTATCTCCGTTAATCTATTTACATTTGGCTATGTATCGATGATCCCGAAAATTATAGTTGTGTAAAATTTATGAAGATGACTCCGCTTTACAGCGATGCCAAAAACTTGGTTCGTTATTTATTATATTTATTAATAAGAAATTGAAGATTGAAGTAATTTATGTTGTGATTCTACGCAAGTATACGTATCGTTATTAAGTAATACAAGACTTTCTGTTTAAGCCACAAATATCGATCCCACGGGGAAAGTTTAAATTCGAGATGATAATTTAGATTAGGAATTTCACAATAATAAAGAAAGTCTAGTATACTAATTTCAAATGTTTGAGGTGCTATCAAAACTAAATTATCAACTACTAGCAGGACTGTAAATTAAAGTTATAGCAAGACAAAACTATAACTACCAAACTATGTTTTCAAACTACTTTTTTGTGATAAAGTTATCTAATATGAGAAAGCTTCTTTTCCACACTACAATGAGTTTTTGGTTAAATGAGAGATAAATAGTTTGAATTTGTATTGTGCAAAATATGAACAATTTTAATTCTCTACCCTTAATCAAGTGTTTTAGAGAATCGTTACTAATCTTAGGTTTAATCTCTAAATTCGTGGTTAGGCTGGGAGAATATTGACTCTCATTCCAGAGCTTCCACTTCCCTTCCCTTGAAGGCTAACTCTGGCTTTAGTTCTTATACACTAAGACAAAATTGGAGATTTTAGTCAGTCACCCTAAAATCTTCAATTCTTCGCCCAATAATATATATTTCTCTATTTATTTGCAGCCAATTCCATGAAGGAAACACTTTTTCATAGAATTGAATGTGATTCTCACTTTATTGTAGAACTCATACTCAGAACTCATACTCCATTTTCTCCATTTTCCGGATCATATGTTTCGCAACAGATTTTAACATTTCAATTGACTATATCGAAATGTAAATTAAAAACTGAGTGAAAAAAACATCGCAATTTATTTTATATTTTAAAATTGGCACATCTAAATTATCTCTTCATTTCACCATATCT